ACCATTCTGTGATTCTATGATGCTTCCCCTTTCCTCCCGCAGCTGTGGGGTTCGGGGCGCTGCGCTGGCCGTTGCCGTTCTCGGCCGCCTTCACTGGTTCCAGCGTTTGCAGTGGAATTGTGTCACAGCTGGTTTTTATCATCTCTTTGGATTTGGTCACAAGTAAAGCTGAAGTATGTTTTTGAGGGAGGGTAGCAGGTCAGCAGGGAGATCTGGAAGGTTGACAAGTCTCTGTTTCCAAGCATGGTGCCGTGGAGAGGCTCTTTCCTCACTCAGGGATGCTGTTTTGTACAGCGTGATGCCACTTTGCTTACTGCCACATGTAAATCCAACTTCTGAAGCATCATGCCGGTGCTGCGGAAGCGGCTTCCATCAGCTTTCCGCAGTGTGTCTTGCCAGCCCTCTACAGGGATCTGGAATTCTGTTAGCTGATGAGAAACTCTGTTTTTCCTTGTACAAAAAATAAAAACAAACACCAACCTTCTTCCCGTTTGCTCTGTTGGTTTCAAAGGCACCTTGACTCACACACAGGTTGGCTGAAATGACGGGACGTCCCATGAGAGTTGTGGGCTGGTATCACTCTCATCCTCATATTACTGTCTGGCCATCACACGTCGGTAAGAGCTGTCTGGGTTCGGGGTGAAAACTCAGGGCTGGCTAATTGTATGGCTCAGTTTCCTGGATTTTTAGAGCTGCACATCCCAACTATCAAAGTTTGGCTTCTCAGATGTCCTTGGGCAGAACAAGATTGTCTGGGTGGGATTCAGGAATCTCTGCCGGTATAGCCCCTATTCCTGTCTGTGTGCTCCAGGTGCTCAAACTAGACATGACTTGGTAGCTACTCCCAGCACTGCTGTTCTTCCGGACAGGAAAACTAGACCTGGGGTGTGCTGTGGGAGTCGCAGGCCTGCTGTGATGGGTTTTGCTACCCGTGGGGGTCAGTGCAAAACCAAAAACTTGTTTTGAAGAACCGTGTGAGTGTGTTATACACGTTGGACGTTGTGGTGGTGGTGGTGGAGTGATCTGTGGCACCAGGCTGATGCTCTGAGCATCTCTTGTTTTGTTATCTCATCTTTTCTTAACTTTTTTAAGATTTGCTATTTAATTACATTTTAAATTTGGGTGGGGTTTTTTTGTTGTTCGGGTTTGTTTCTTTCTTTTTTTAATTTAGTCACCTGGAATGAGTACTTTAAAATAAAGCTTGTGGCATTTCTCACCAAATTCCAGGTCACCCTTCAGAAAGGTGGCAAATCTTTTTTTTCCCCTCCTTCAGGTGACCGGCGCAGTTCTCATTCTCTCACTTCTCTGTCTGCAGATGTCCGCACACAAGCTATGTATCAGATGATGGACCAAGGTTTTGTAGGGCTTATCTTTTCCTGCTTCATTGAGGACAAAAACACAAAGGTAGGCAACTTAAAAAGGGCAATATTCCTGTACTTATGAGAAACAGCAGCCCCAGGGCTGAGGTGAAATCCTCGGATGCAGCCTGCAGGAAGGGCTGAGCTTAGCTTGGAGCATGGTCATATCCCGGCTCGAGGGTGATGCCTGGGTCGTAATCCCAATGAGAAAACATTAATTCCTCTGCGCTGATCCACAGCCTGGCTCTCCAGCCAGCGGGGCTGGGCTGGGCTGGGCTGGTGCTGGGGTCTGGGACCGCGTGAGGCGGCTGCAGTACGTACGCACTGAAATGTGGGAGTGCCCTTCGGCTGTTCCGTCCAGCAGATACAGCTTCTTGCGCCTCTGGCCTTGTCAGGAGATGCTGCTACGGTGCAGGATGAGCTGACGGTGGTGCGTCTTGTCTGGGTTTTCCTGGTAGCTGTTATTTAAGATCTGTTTTGTGGTTAATGCCTCTGTTAATGTCTGCTTGTCATCGGTTCCAGCACACCAGTCAAAGTGAAAAGCCCTGCCTTTGCAACCCCTTAAAAGCATGTTCTGCTTTCTAAAGGAATGTGTGGGTTTAGATTGTTTTTTATTCATGGAATCTTTGTGCTGTCTCTTTTAGACAGGCAGGATTCTCTACACCTGTTTCCAGTCCGTTCAGGCCCAGAAAAGCTCAGAGTGAGTACAGCAGAGGAATATTATGTATTTCATCTTGCCTCTCCTTTCTGGGTTGTCTCACATACGTGGCTTCTGGGCTGCTCATGAGGAACAACTACTGTATAGAGATGCCTGCACAGGGTCTCCTCACTGCTGCTAATGCAGGCTGCTTGGAGAGAAGCTAAGGACTAGGACTGATTAATTTAGCCTGGATAATTTAGTAGCTTAAGATTTGGGAAGTGTGTGGCTATAAGACTTCCGTTTGCCTATCAACTCGGCAGGAGTTTCCAAAAGCAAACCCGCAGCAATGCCATGTGTTGGGCTGTGGCAGGTTTCTTCAAGTCCTTTTTTTTTTTTATTCTCTGCTGCTTTGAAGTTAATTGTGTCCAATACCCTTTTAGATATGAAAGGATCGAAATTCCTATTCATGTCGTCCCCCATGAAGCCATTGGGAAAGTGTGCCTGGAATCAGCTGTAGAGCTGCCCAAGATCCTCTGCCAAGAAGAGCAAGATGCCTACAGGAGAATTCACAGGTACGACACTGGGGCTGCGCCCTCTCCAAGGCGTTGCTGACACAGCCTGCCTGTTGCTGTGCCCTAACCGTAGCAGGGCTGTGGAGAATAAGTGTGAGCAGGCGGTGTGCCTTTGTAGGAGAGCTGCTGGAGTACCTTCAGGCTCAGGGGTTCGGGTTCTCTCAGCCTCACACACAAGAGCCAAGCGTAACTGCTCCTTTGCTGCCACAGAACGAGCTGGAGCGTGTGTGAGCGAATGGTGGAATGTCAGTGATGTGTGGGTGTGACGGTACTTAGTGTTGAACCAGGGGAAGGGTGCTGAGAGGTCTGAAAAATTAGATTAAACATCAGCTTGCTTTTTTTTATTCTGCCTCTGGTGCCCCAGAGTGACGTTTCTGTGCTGTAAGCTCTTGGCGTTCCTTGTGAACGTACAGGGATGCGAGAGGTGAGGAGGTCTGGATGTACGTGCGGTGTCGGTGACTTGCAGGTAGCTGTTCTGCAACCTGGGTTTGCCTAACCCAGTGCGAGTCACGGCTCTCCTGTCACTAACCCGTGCTCTGTTCACTCTCACAGCCTCACCCATCTGGACTCCGTCACCAAGATTCATAACGGCTCCGGTAAGGATTCCTTTTCCGCACGTGAGAATCCAGGGAGCTGCTCCCAGACCCCAAACAGTAGGGTCTTGAGCAGGGGTTTAGCTTTGACTGTGGGGGCAGTAGACCACAGCTGTGTAACACTTCTCCCTTTGCCATAAAAGGCACTGGTAAATAACTACACAAGCGGAAACCTTTGTCTTTGCCCATACAGTTAACTTCCAGTCACAAACAGTGTGTAACCCAGAGAATTCCCAGGGACCTTGTGACGTAAAGTCCAGTGGAAGAACAGAATTGTAACTAAACGCTTTTAAAGGAAAACATAAAGGGCTGTAAAATTACCTAATCCTGGGGTCTGTGAATGCTGTTGTAGTCTTCAGCCCTTGGACCGCTGGTTAAAACAACAGTAGACTTGGGGGTTGTTAGGTTGGTTTGTTTGGATTTGGGTGTGTTTGGATGGTTTTTTTGCTCTTAGAACAGGGGAATTTTGGATTTGGTGAGTCTAAAAGCAGTGAATGGCTGACCTATACACGTGCTTGCATCTCCTGGCACTGTGTGTGACATCTTTGCTTTTGCCAGTGGCATAGGGTGAATCCAAATCCCACTTCCGTTTCAAGACAAAGACCCCATTGTCCATCCTCACCTGTTAATAACGGAGGCATTCTTTGCTTCTGAATTTGGAAATTAATTGGCATTAATGATGGCTTATAAGCACATTTGTAGATTTCTGTTGTGGGTCTGTCACCTGTCCCCACAGTGGCTAAAGGTGAGATTGGAAGGGCTTGTTTCAGCAAGCTGCTGCTTCTGACATCCCTGTGGGGGTGTTTGGTTGTCTCGGCCAGGATGCTGGAGGGTTTCCTTGGCCATCTCTAACCCTCTGGGGTTGTTTCTGTGTGTTTGCACTCTCATGGTATGTTCTCGCTCTTTGCAGTGTTCACAAAGAACCTCTGCAGCCAGATGTCTGCCATCAGCGGGCCGCTCCTTCAGTGGCTGGAGGACAGACTGGAGCAGAACAAACAGCGGGTGCAGGAGCTGCAGCAGGAGAAGGAGCAGCTCCTGGAGGAACTAGCAGCTTTAGAGTGAAGGAGGAAGTGCAGACCCTTCAGAAGAGACACGGGAAAATAAAAACCCTGTACAAGACCTACTCCTGGCTGAAGGGCGGCCCTGCATCGCCCTGCAGGGCAGATCCTGCGCCTCGCCTCCTGCCGCACAGCGCGCGGCTACAGGATAAGGGCTTTACCTGCCCCAGCTTGGTGGAAAGCAGCAGTATCTCTCCGTGTGCTGCGTGACGCAGCGCGGTTCTAGCTGGGTGTTGGGGTTGGCAGCACCTGCAGAGCCGTCTGTTCTGGAGGGCACACACCTGGGGAACGTTGTTTCCCTGTCCACTGTGTTTTGACAGAAGTCTTACTGCTTGACATGTATTCCCAGAGCCTCAAATGGGAAGGTTGGTGGGGAAAAGTGTGTCTCTGCAGTTGTATCTGATGCTGCCAACTTCTGCCTTCTTTAGCGGCTTCAGCTGACCGTGATCTTGTATCTAGTAACCTTCTGGACTGCTGGTTATCCACCCAGGCAGGTAAGAGGTGGGAGGGAAGCTTGGGAAAAGACCTGGAAGAACTTTGACACAGGATCTGTGATCAGCGTACTTCAGACTAAATAAAGAATTCCAGGGCTGTTTGGAGTAGAGATGAAGTGGATGCTGCAGAGTGCCAGTGCCTGTGTTTTCTTGGACACAGTCTGTATTCTCTTACTCGATGTGATGCTGCTGCGTACCCAGCGCTGAGGCTCCGCCAGTCTGTTTGTGCTGGCTCAGGGGGAGCAGTGTGGCTCCTTCCCAGAGGGAAGAGGGTCAAGGTGCTGGGTGCTGATGGATATCAAGCCTGTCGTTCTTACATGCTGAACTTAATTGCAGAAACTTCATTAGAGAGAAATGGAACACAACATCCTGTTGTTGAGCTGATCCTTTAAATATTCCTACTGTTGCATTTCAGAGTATCCCCCGCGTGCATCGTAGCTGTGTTCTGCTAACACGGAGTCTGTCGTGGCGCCTGGTCTCATCTAAGCCCTTACACGCTCCGGTGTGCGAGCGCGAGCCGCCTGCGTTACGGCAGCGGAGACTGTGATGGTCCTGACAGCTCATTAGCTCCAGGGCTGCTCTGGGAGAAGGAAGCAGCGGAGCGTAGGGAGCGGCACGCACTGGTTCATTACCACAATTAGTATAAAATTGCAAATTTAATTGATTATTCCAAACTACTAATTCCCCGAAGAGTTTGTCCACAGCAGACACAAACACTGTAACACACATTCAGTCACGTTCTACATGAAAGACTTAAGTCCTCAGACCAGCCCTTCTCATTCTGTGGCAGAAAGTGTTTGAATCTGCTTTCCCCAACCTGACCTGCTGCATCTGTTCCAGCTTCTGTGAAACTGCAGCAGAGGCACAGCTGCAGTCAGCATTTAATCCAAGAGCTTTGATCTCCCCAAGGGCCACTGGGCTTTGCAGAAACTCACGGTTTCTCTAACAGATTCCAGGCATCACCTACCTAATGCTTACTTTCAGTAGGAACAGCCAAGGATCACTCGCACTCCTCAGAAGAACGCCTGAACCCCGTTCAGGTCTGCCTCTTTTCCTGCCTGGCAGTCATCCAGACGGAATCAGAGGACTTGGGCTCCTGGGCCTGGATTTTCCTTGCACCTGGCAATGAGACAGTTGTACACAGGTTCTTCAGCACATACAGAGGCTGTAGCACGTCAGCTACCCCGATGAACATCCGTTGCTCACTGGAGTCACAGAAGACACACGGTGAAGCTCTGTGTGTTAACATACAGAAAATTCCAGACAAATATAGCATGTCAGTCCCACAGAGGGCCTAGAACTGCATCTTCCCAGGGGCAGGCGGTGTTTATCTGAAGTCTGAGTACACCCTGACTGACTTAGGCACAGCCCTGGACTCTACCATCGTTACTTCTTGCTCACTCCTGCCTATTTTAGAAAAGGCCTTAAAAAAAAAAATTAAAATACTAAAATTACCTGGAATCCTCCAAACCAGATTCTTAGACTCCTTTCCTACCGCACACTTTGGCCTCGTTTACTACTGGATACAGAGTTTAAGCGGGAGCAGGAAAGGAGGCGTATGAAGATGTTAGGGCGAATCTTGAAGCTTCGTTTTCAAAGCAAAGTCGGCGCTGAGTTTCCGCATGACTTCGGCGTGGCTCAGCCCGTGCTGCTCTCTTCTGGTAAGCCCGTAGTTTTCCTTCACGTACTGCGCAAAGGGCGTTGGGTGGGTCCTCGCAGGAGTGCCATCCTTCCGCGTGGGCTGCCTCAGCACCAGCTGCCCCCTGCAGAACGCGCAGGCGAAGTGCTCGGTGTCCAGTGACTTGGAATGACGTCCGATCCTGAAATGGAGAAATAAGGACTTGGATTTCAGGCTTGTGGGAGGCAGTGCTTGCGGGAAAGGGCTCCTTTCTCTTCGCCAAGCCCCTTAGGTCAGGTTTCTAAGCTAGCGCTTTAGAACGGGAAAGAGACTACGTCCTTCACGCCGTGGACAAGCAAACCTATACAACATGATTCTCCTATCCTAGAACTTTTTCCACTGCCTGGAGAAAGTTGGGTTCAGCTGGGGTCCTTCCTGTGTCTCTTTTCCTCTCCGCCTAGTAGTATGAAGCGCTGAGTTACAAAACACCTCCACAACCCATGTATCGACCACCCCCTGGAGTTTCTCCTCAAAGCCATCGCTATCAAATCTGCTCTGGGGCATCCAAGCAGCTGCCGCATTGCATGGTCGTATTAAACACTTCAGGAAGATTCTCCATGTGTGCAACACTTTCCTTCCAGTGCCTCTGGAAGTAGCAACATATGATCTTGGGGAAAGAAAAATCCCAGGCATGCTTTCTAAGTATGTATTTAGCCCCTGGAGAGTGTGGAGAGGATAATAATTTAAGAAATTTAGGACAATCATCCCACTGTCAGCCACTTTCCTGGGCTGTGCAGAACTGCGTTCTAAAGCCCCATGCTCTCCCAGAGGCGGGGCTCATGACATACAGAAGCCTGCGGTCAGCTACGATCTTCCAGAAAAGGCAACACCTTCCCTACTCCTGAAACTCAGTGAAGAGAGTCCGTGAGGTAAAAGATCAACTAGAAAACCGACTATAGCTTTTATAGACCTTTAAACCAACAAGAATCATCATGCTGTTGGTCTCTACGCTTCACTTAGCACTGCCATAATGAAGATAATAGATAAAACGTTTAGTCTTAATTCAAAGTCATCAGGATATAAAACCCAGAATCCTCTGATACTTTCTTCTAATATCTGAGTATTGTCACATGTTTTGGGCCCAGGTTCTACAGGGAATTTAAACTTCAGTTACTACTGGCTTCTTTCAGCATCAGATGGTCCTCAGTATCGCTCCAAGGATGAGCATATAAAAAGTAATTCCGTCACCTACACCCAGTCTAGGGCTTCTCTGGGGGCTGTTTTTCCTTGGACCAAACCTAGATTGCTGTCATGGCATGTTCAAAGATGTTACTTTGTAAAATGTGGGTAGATTCCAAAAGAACTTGGAATGCCTCATTTCTGCAACACATGCTAGTACTGTGCTAACATGCATTCTACAGGGATGTGCCAATCACTGCTCCGTCAGTGTAGGCCCCCACGTTTTTTTCCTGGTGTAGTACTTAACTTTAAGACCAGAAATACAACTCCCTGCCTAAAAGCCTATAATGGGATCAGTGTTGATCATGAAATCAGAGGTAAGTGGTCAAAAACTTCCACAACTTCACTCAATGCTAACTACAGTAGAAGGTGAATCCAGATTTACAACGTCTGAGCAGCTGCACGAGGGGTGACCTTTCCCTGCCACATCCTTCACAGCTGAGGCACGTATTCTGGTCTCTTACTGCTTCCCAAAGACCTTCCATCATCACCAGTGGGCCTCAGGAGACACTTCTGCCTGTGCTGACCTCTGAACTGGCCTGGGAACAAAGCGGGAATTGCACAGTGAGGTTCTGTGGGCTCAGGAAATGTGAACTGGCAACTCTGAGCGTATCCCAGTGGCTTCACGGCGTAGGAGACCAGTGATTTTTAGACACAAGAGAGTGCCAGGTTAGAGACGAAGTTAACAGATCTAAAGATCAAAACGTTACTCACGTAGCTTTGCACAGGACACACTCGTAGGTGAATTTGTAATTGATCTCATAGTTGTGGCATCGTGTCACCACTGGCAGTTCCGGGTGAATCAGAGACGATTTATTGGCGTAGAACTTCCAGACTGGTCCGTGTCCATTGCGAACACCGTTGATCAGCCAGGTGGCAGCGTGGCAGAGCTCGTGAACGAGCGTGTCTCGAAGACGATCTTGGGGTAAGGCAAACCGAAGACATTAAAGATCAGCCAGGTGTGGGCAAGTGCAGACCTTCATCCTTGGTCACTGCTTCAGACCTTTGACACTCATTAAGATGCAAGAATTATTCTGGAGGTTGCAATTACCAGTGTTTTGGTAAGATAAAATGCCCCAAACCAAGGTTTTACCCAGTGCATTTCTGGTTTTGTGGTTCGCCCTAATTCTGCATCCTAGTTACTTCCCTGCACACCTGGTCTGTTTGGGTTGGCTGGTTGGGATTTTTTGTTTTGCTGGGATTTTTTGAGACTTAAAACACCCCTATTTAGACCAAAATCCATTGATTGCTTTTGTAACATTGATATTTTTTATCCAGAAACCACTAGAGCAGAGCACTGAGTTTTCTCCACAACTGGAGTATTTCTATTGGAAGGGACCTACAATGATCATCTCCTCCAACTGCCTGACCGGAAGTTAAAGCATGTTATTAAGGGCATTGTCCACGTGCCTCAAACACTGATGGGCTTGAGGCATCGACTACCTCTCCACTTTTTCTTCCTCCCTATTAGTCAGATGAGGGTCTTCCACAAGCATCAGTCCAATGTTTTTACACCTCCTCTTGCTATGAACATCCTTAAAGCCCATCCAGTTATCACAGTGACACAACACCGGCCAGTTTCAACTCTGACTGAGCTTTGGCCTTTCATCTCCTCCCCCTGCATATATGGACAACAGCTCTAATCTTCCTGTGAAGCCTGACCTCACCTGCAGGCATCATACAACTTCTTTTTCCACCGAGCTCCAGGAGGAATTGCCTATTCAGCCAAGCTGGTCTGCTGCCCTGCTTGCTCAGCTTCTGACACGAGGGGACTGCCTGCTCCTGTGCTGCTCAAAGGTGCTGCCTCAAAGCTGACCAGCACTCGTGGACTCTAGAGCCCTCCAAAGCACATTCCCAGGATACTCTGTTGAAGCTCTCAAACGAATTTATTAAGCTTACTTCAAAATACTGTTAATTGCAGAACTGGTTCTCCTACAGTAACTGCAACATTCATTTCCCCAAACTGGGAGGGGGTGAGGGAGAAATGACAGTTACACCCACCACATAACAGAACTTAATTTGGCACTGACCTGTCTTTATTCCAGCTTCAAATACTACCAACAGGGTGGCTAGCCATGATGTAAGGAGTCAGATTTTAGATCGTTGTTACAGTACATATAGAATTAGAATAACCTATGGGTCTTCAAATCAGTAATATAAACCAAATACAGCAGTTGGCATGGGTACATCTCTGTTCTCAGGTTTTGTAAATTCGCCCAGCCTCTTAGAAGGGTTGTGAGGACAAGTACTACCATTAACAGATTGATTCAAGGTAATATGAAAGCACAAAGCAGGTCCAGTTCCAGATCATTTAGGCCGCAGTCACGTTTTTATCGCTAGAACTTGCTTTCTCAAAGAATAATCAACAAGTCTTTTCTTATACCTACCTGCAGAGTCACAGACTTTCTCAGAGAGTCCGATGCGAGCGTAACGCTTTGCTTCAGGACCTTGTGTCTGCCCAGTTATACAATATCCTGCTGTTTTTCTCATTTTCTTACTCCAGAATATTACCATTTTCTCTGGCAACTGAAAAACAAAACAGCACATGTAATCTGCCCTCTCTTTTTTTCTGCCTTCTGACTTCTCCTTATATTTACTCCAAAGCCAGTACAGGATGTCTCTGTTAGTGCCCTTAACACTGTTGTCACTTGAGATGTAAACCTGCCCTCCGTGGCTTTTCATTCCCAGATCAGAATTTCTACACCTTAATTAATTTACAGGTCAAGTACCACCTGCTTTGGTTGTTCTGAACCTGCAACTTGCCATTTCAATGTGATGCGTTAGTGCCCTTAACACTGTTGTCACTTGAGATGTAAACCCGCCCTCCGTGGCTTTTCAGAATTTCTACACCTTAATTAATTTACAGGTCAAGTACCACCTGCTTTGGTTGTTCTGAACCTGCAACTTGCCATTTCAATGTGATGCACCTTCACTCTGCAAGTGGGTGAATCATCTCCTTGTTTATCCTCTGCTGCTCCCGATTTTGTAAGCCCTCATTGTGTCTCTCTTGGTTAGCTCTGTTCCTTTACTAAGAGTTTTCTGTCATCTAAATTAGCCAGTGAGCTTAAGTGAATGGTCCCAGCAGTAGTAAGTGCCAACACAGGTACAGGACTGAATCAGTGGGGAGCAAGATGTTTTGCTTTCAGCTACAACTTTATGTGAAATCATGACCTCAGCCTGTCCTTGGTCAGCTCAACAAGATTTCCTCAGCTGCACCAAAACGGTTTCCTTCCTGAAGGAAATTCTATTGGAATTACTGAGGGCAGCATCCTTCCTTTTCAAGGATGTTTCTCACCATAAGAGAGCCTCCAGTATCCCAGAAGACGTAAGGGTCAAGACTGAAGGTTCAGTTTTGGAGAACCGCAATGTGACACACGACTTACAGCTTTAGGTTCACCCTAAAACTGTTATTCAAAGGATAAGCAGCTTTTTAATCTGTTCCAGAGCAGCAGACGTGAACGTGCACCAGGAATGAATGAAGACTGCACGTAACGTGACTGAGCATGAGGCAACAGGCCCTAACAACAAAGGGAAGTGCTTGTTCCGTCAGCGCCCTGCTCCCCAACACACACTCCCTGCCACTTGCCTTTTGTCAGCTGCAGGCAAGGAAATGGTGCTACAAGTAGCTCGGAGGCTGTGGAAACGCTGCAGAGTTCACTAGCACATGCAACTTCTGTAAAAGCTGGATGAGCAACAGTGGTAGGCAACCTTGAGCTTCTTGAGGAGCAGAAAGCCATAGCAGCCTTTACTGGGGCCTACTACCACAAGGGCAGCAACAGAAACATTCCCAAGCTGCTGAACTGATGACCATACGGGTACAAGGAAACACATGCAGACAAACATCAGTCACCTCTTCAAAGATGAACTGATCCTAGGCCCCTCACGTAGCAGCTTCTCTCATCGAGGACTCTTGGACACCCTCCAGACTGCTCACTTAAGGATGGTACAGCTGGGAGAGCAAGCCCAGCTGCAAACCGCTGCACCACAGTGGTGATAAACCCCTTCCAAAGAAACTGCTTGAACTAATTCAGACATAAGACATGGCTATAAAGCTTAACTTCTACTAACTCGAGAATAAAGAGCAATCACATCAAAAAAGTGAGGAGTAACATATTAAACAGCAATTTAGAACTGTAGTTTTTGGTTTGAGGCCAACCTTCTGCTCAAAGATGGTACTATTATACAGGCAGTAGAGCTTCTGTGCCAGTTCCTCTTTATTCTTTTTGAAATGCTTCACATAGTGGGAAGACGGATTTGAGAGATCTTGCAAGAAACAGCCAGGCATGGAGCACACCCTGAGCCTGCAAGAAAAGCCATAAAGCAGTTCATTGAAGTAGAGAGATGTCACATTGAAAAATAACAGCCCATTTATAGCCAATAAAGATCTCCAGGATGCTGGTGCTGGCATAAACCTCTCCTGACACTTACACTGTCTTCTTCCCCTCCCTTCAGGGATATGAAGGGGCAGAGCTGTTGCAGTACTTCTGCAGTTATTTCATGAATTCATCAAACTAGATTATGAGGACTCCTGAGTAGGAAAAGAGGGTGGCTCAGGTCTTTGTGACACAGTGAGCCACAATTACACCAAGGCTTGATCAATGTATGAACAGCCCTAAGCTGATCACCCACAACAGAGGTATAGTTTCAGAAACATAGCCAAAGATATTCTGGGAATCCTCAGGAAATCATTTGGGGAAGTAGATAGTGCACGAAGATATGACTAATTCCGATACATTCTGACAAAACAGCAGCTTTGAAGACATCATTTCAAGATTTTGTATTGGCATGCATGATCACAAAATTGCTAAAGAAAACATCACATGGCTGAAAGGCAGAACAAAGGCAGCTATTAGCAATGAAAAAGACATTCTTTGGAAAAGCTTAAGCTGCATCCATGTATAGAAACATGAATTTGGCGAGTTATAAGGATACAGGTCAAAAAAATGAAGACAAGCTTGTTAAAAGGCATGAATTACTAATAGAACCAGTTTCGATATATTTTCCGAGGCAGGCAGCTGGATAGATAGGATCTATAGGGCCAGCACACGTTCCAAGAACGCTCTGCCAGGATAAGGAATAGCAAGAGAGCTACACTTACAAAGAAGATTTGACATTTGTCAGATTTATTTGTCACTGATTCCTCTAGGTGGAGACCAGCTTATACTCCTCTCTGTCACGCTTGATACTGAGAGCTCTGATCTCCAGCTACTTAACCACTAACAACTGCCGAATCGGTAGCAGGAGTGTCTAGGTGCCATCAAAAACAGAACGTCACCCTAGGCAACATGCTTAGCATCTCCTTCCCCCACCTATAACGGTCCTGGAAGACAGTAAAGATGGAGAAACACTTACTTTTTGTCTGCCTTTGCTGACTGTGGGCAACCGAATGCTTCATTCCTAGGAATCCTTGGAGAATCCATTGTCCTGGAAGGTGTTTCTTTAAGTGAAACGGAGTTTGGCCTTGGTGTCTTAACTCCCTCATCTTTCAAGGGCCGGGCGTCTTCACTGGGTGACTTGATGTTTTCTAGTTCAACAGAAGGGGTCAGAGATTACACGCTGACACAGAACCAGGAGCATGGATGTCAGCCACCCGGGAACGGACAGCATCAGACGGCACGTACTGCACCTCGGCATACACCCCCTTCCTGCGCACACTTGGATGCAAAGGCTCTAACAGCTGATGGAAAGGTGATTTGCTGTTATAGATTACAAAAACCACCATTCAGCGAGGAGTGGCAGACTCCAAACTCTCACAATACATCACCAGCACACTGGGAACAGTAACGGAGAGGCCATTGGAACAGAAAAGTCATTCTAACCTCCTCTACCATAAGCCACGCTGTTCGTTTTGCAAGGCAAGTTCTGATCAGAAAGCTCCTTATTTCCCCACTCCACGCCTGGACAGATTGCTAGAACAACTGACCCTCACACCAGAAATCAAGGACTGCCTCAAGGTTTGCAGTTCCAGACCTTCCCTCTGCTTTATAGGCTTTCCTATAACTGTTCCAGGCCACTTGTCTCCTTTCACTATTCAACCACACAGAGAAGCCAGCACAGCTGCCAGTCACTCCTAGAACATGTTTTCCAGGCCACACTGACATATTCCCATTAAAAATACAAATTGTGCTTTCCCAGGGTGTATTTTTATGCTGGCAGCCACCCCCTGCCGTAGGTCTCCCTGCCCTGTTAGTGAGGGGAAGGCACCCTGTGTTTACTCTTCTAGGAAGAGGTTTGTTTTCACCTGCTCTTGCTCAACAACAGCGCTTTCCACGCTTTGCAATCTTTCAGTTAGAGCTCACCTTAGTTACAGGAGGAAGAGAGCAACTGAGGTAGGAAATTCTCATTATAAACTGTATTTTAAATTAAAAAAAAGATCCAAATACTAAATTAATAGCATCTAAACTGCTGAAAACATGTCTTGCCAAAAGGACAGCTTCAGATTAACTGCTAGCATACATACAAAAACTTACTTAACACCACTTCACCCACCCCCTAGATTTGTTTTCAGAACAATTTTGAAACACTCAAAATGCCCAGAACTATAGGAATTATGCAAAAAGAAGCAATAGTGGAAAAAATTCAGCTTGCAAGCGAGCCAGCTGCTGACCTGTTGTGCTTGGCTGGTAGACGGTTTTACTCGTGCTTAAGGTTGGTTTTCGGGGTAGAGTTCGTTTCCTTATCCGTTCTAGTAACGATTCGAATTCCTCGTCTGAGCTGTCTGTTTCCACCCCTGTGCTTCGTGCCCCAGTTTGCGCTTTATTTTCTGTACTCCTCTCACAGCTTCTTTCTTGCCATCTAACACACAGGTCTGGGCTACCTCTGGAAACTGCCTCTCTCAGATTTGGTGGAGGTGGGATTTTTATGCACCTCCGATTCTCTTTCGAATCTTTCTCTCCTCTTTTCTGGGAGTCATGCCATGGACTTTCTACAAAGACAGACTCGTCAGTGTCACTTGAGGACTCTGGATACTGCAATTCCTTGCAGCAAGTGTTTTTCTTCACAGGAGTCATCAGCTTCTTCGGGGTCTTAAGATCCTTCTGTGCTGCAATTCAAAAGAAACAGCTTAAATTTTTGGTAATTTCATTTAGGAGCCCTGCCTTTGTCTTAACACAAAAACATCCCTTAAAAGATAGGAAAACACAAAGAATAGAAAGATGTCTTTACATTTTCTTTATTACACCCTGCTCATTTACCATCAGACTAAATGAAAGCCACTGAAAGACGCATTAAGAAAAAAAGGTATCTTAAACCCCATGCACGTACACATCAGCCATCAGGCCCAACAGCACTGACTAGGCAGCTAGCGCTGGCATAACCTTCATTCCCGGCAACAAAAGCCACTCGCATGTAGGAGTAAGGCTGAACAGCTCATATGGAAGTTTTATAAACCACCAAGAGAAGGGTGACCTGAAAAATGCTCAGATCAGGGCTGATCAGACCACAGCCTACAGCACAAAGCGCACACTCGCCAACAACCAAGGCTTCTGACAGCTCAGATTTGCCCTGTCAAGACCAAGGGATCATGTCAGATCTATTGGTGACTATTTTTTCCCCCGAACGATGCTTCTGGTCCATTTTGCTTCCCTCATTTCCCCTCCAGAAACCATTCCATTTGCTTTCTACAGTCTGCAGCTGGCATGCACATTTCAGGGTGTTGAGGATTTTCTGCAGGACTATGGTCATGCAGAATCTTTGAACCTGAGCAACCCTGGCTTCGGCCTAGAGCAAACAGGGCACTACAGGGCAGAGAAGAGAATGAACAATGCATAGAAGAGAAGAAACAACGTTACAGCAAGAAGATCTGAAGGTCTTGGGAATGAAGAACTGTGAACACTCCCAAGCTCACAAAACTTCTGTACCTAACCAAGCAGAAACTGCAAGTTGCTACATGAACAAAGCTTGCCTTTAGCAAAGATGCTACATGTTTTAACAAGTAATATTAGCTAGGAACCAATCATAATCGATGACATACGCGCTATGCATTTAACAAGTGTATAAAAAGGCATGTAACTCTGCAATAAATCGGCTCACATGGATCATACTGATCATGGCGTGAAGTCCGTTATTTCATCTCTTGCAACATCAGGGTTGACCTTCACACCATGCAAGGGATCCTGACCTTCTTGGTCAGGGTTCAGAGCTTCTCCAGGCTCACGAGGTCACTGTTATCATCCCTTGCCTACTAGAATTCTATTGCCTGATGGCTTGCCTAGTGTCTGTGTCAAGAATTCCAGAGCCCTGTTCACTCCTTCTAGGCAAGCCCAGTTTGCTTCCACCAATGAGAGCTGCACTAGACAGCTGTAGTCAGGCTCTAAATTAGGCTCTTGGTTAGTAAACCAGGGCACTTTCCATCCCTTGGGGGAAAACAGGGATCCTCTGTTCAGAAAAGCACCAAGAACCCTCAAATCATGGTCTGGCAGAGTGTTAACAGGATGACACATAGGGCCTTGTCTAAAAAAGCTCCAAATTAGAGTAGTAAAGTGTGGCTCTGCAACATGCACAGGCACGACTGGCCTGATTGCCAACCTCTGCACCAGGGTAAAGCTGATTTAGCAAGTGACCTCCTTTCCTGACGCAGTATCTTGTGGCCACGGGAGCTGGTACAGC